TATTTGGAAGTGTATTTGTGTGTTCCGCATGATTCTCACAATTAACAGCGACTGTTTCCGCAAACAGCATTTACCTGTTGGGCTTTGTAGCGGATACATAATGTGTTTTCTGTTAGGTACGAACTAGATGCTTACATATTATTCGGAAGATCTTAAGTCATTAGAGGTTTACTTAGTTTGAAGGTTACTTAGATGGCCAGTCAGTCAGATCGCTACGCAGTCAGTTGCATGGCTAAGACTCCTAGCTAGACAGCCGGTTGGCTGGTTAAGTCTCTTTTCTAGGCAGCCGGTTGGCTGGTTAAGTCTCTTTGATAGACTGCCGGTTGGGTTGATAAGTCAGTTGGCTGGTTACGTCTCCTAACTAGACAGACGGTTGGATAGGTAAGTCTGTTGACCAGCCATACTTGGTTAGCTTGACATGCCTGGAAGTCACTGTTCTGTTGCAGAGCCTCCGAGGGCACACTCCACTGAATCTACCTAGTCTTCTGGCATATACCGTCTTGCAGTCTGGTATACAGGGAGCAAGCTCAAGAGGTTAGTCGCTGGCGTCCCACCGCGGCGGCCCGGCTTCGATCCCGGGTCTGGTCAAGTGGGATTTGTGGTGGACAAAATGGCGCTTGGGCGGGTTTTCTCAGAGTACTTCGGTTTCCCCTTCTGATCTTCATTCCACCAATTGCTCCACAATCATTCTCACCTACCACCTGATGCTGGTACAATAGGCCAGAAGTGGCCGCAGTACAAGGGATAAAGTCCCACCCCACTAGCAATAAAAGAAATACAGGGAGCAAAGGTATCGGAGGACCTGTCTGCTTCCATCTTCAGGTTTTAGGAGTGAGATTCGGCTTGCCGCCAGCCGATGTCGGAACAGCAGTGATGCTCCACGTAGCCCTGGCGCCTGCTATCAAAGCGCCACGTCTGCTCTGTATCGACGTCCCGTTCAACTGCTCTGGGCCGCTGTCGGCAGATGCCCGCCTTCCGTGATTGATGGCGTCTCGGCGCTCCGTAAAGGGCGATGTCGGTGGACCCTGCTCTGAAGGGCACAGAGAGCTACGTCACTGCGCTTGTTCCGTTTTTTTGAGAGGTTGATGTTACAGGCTTTGTTTTGCGTGTTGGGGGGGGGTGATTCTGCTGCTGGTAAGGTTTCGCGATTGTGAGGGTGCGAGGTGGATAGGGGTGAGGGGAATTAAATGTTGATCCGCCCCACGCCAGACATTGAGTTTCTGCATCGCCTCCAACATACAGAAAAGCCTCCCTTCCCCCGTAGCTTATTAGTAGAGTTTTTAAAAACATTTTCTTCGCCCCACGGCCTTTCTAAGCTAACATCTCCAGTCTCATGATGGAAGGGGGGTGTAATCTATACAGGGGTGAAAAAGAAATGGCATTGTTACCAACTTGAAGGTGCCCGTAGTGTTTGCCAACAATGTGGTGCCCATCATATCTTGGCTGTTTGCAAAAGGGAGCGGTGGGAACGTGACCGAGGTACTACCCCGACATTTGCGTAGAGGGACTGAGGAAAAGGAAGAAAGTTTTGGGTCACGAGAGCCGGTGTCCTTGGCGAGATTGGAACCAGGTGCCAGCCGAATGCGATTCTATAATCAGCTCTTGCAATCCTCGTCTCCGATCCCCACATTCATTTATGTGTAACGTGCGTCTCTCGTACTGAAGAGCACTTCTGGAATACTTGGATCTCTACCTCCACTGCCCCCTACGTCTTTATGACCTATTGCTTATTTAAGCACAGATATTAGCAGTTTGGGGCCACACGATCTGAGGCATGAACTGTTTTCGCGCACTCGAACACCGAGGTCATGTGTTCGAATCCCACTCACGCAATGGACGCTCTGGACGGCCGTCACGCAGCAAAAGTGACAAAAATTTGTCTCGTGTTCGTGATCTTTTAAATACCTGTCGTCGGATGAGTGTTCCGATGATAGCAGAGGCTCTCAGTGTTCCGAAAACCACTGCACGGCATCGTTACCGACAGTTTGCACATGCGGAAACGCTCCCAGCCACACCGCTCTGCGCGTCCGGGAGTTTCTGGTCAAGCACAGCTTGGCAACGTTTGCGAACCCGTTTTGGAACCACTGAAGCGACCAAAACCGCTGTGACAAAGGCTCTAAACGAGGTCCCCGTCGACGCCTTCCAGGATGCATACCGTGCATGGAAAAGTCGCTGGCAAATGTGTGTGGATGCCCAAGGCGAGTACTTAGAAGAATTTTATACGTTTGTAACGATATCTTGAACAATCCTTTTTTACGAACTTAATTGCATTACTTTCCGGACAAACCCTGTATATGCGTTTATTCTGTATGTAGGTGGCGGCCTTGCAATAGGCTGATCCCCCATCCAAGAAATCCTACCGATTTATATGGGATTACGAAGCCAGAACCCACCAAAAGGTTGCACAGCCATTGATGAGTGAATTAGCAGTTTGGTAAGTGTCTAGCAGACTGCACGGCGTCACTCTCTCAGGAAGGATCCCGAGGTTCTGTTGTTCAGTGAGCAGACAGAGCAGGACGACAGGGGGCCAGAATCGGTTGCTTGACGACCAGACGCATCCTGCTCCTACCGAGTGAGCCCGCAGCAAGCAGGGTGAGCGGCGAGGCACAGAGCTCATGGGATGAACATCCCAGCTGTAGTCGTGTGTAGCTGTGCTGTTCATACTGGTATCTTCGTATTTTTTGGTTTGTTGGGATATCCTATTCTTTGCACTGATGTCTTTGTACCTTCTGTCCATATTGTGGTATCTTCTTGTTTTGTAGGGATATCTTGGTGGCTTCTGGATTTGAGAGATATCTTGATATCTTCTGGTTTATGCTCATATATCTTGGTATCTTCTGGTTTTTAGGAATATTTTAGTATCTTCTGCCTAATACTGATATCTTTGTATCTATTGTTGATATTTTTGTATCTTATGGTTTGTGCTGACATCTTCGATCTTCTGTTGATATTTGGGTATCATCTGGTTTCTAGGGATACCGTATTTACGCATGTATAGGCCGCAGCACAATTTTCAGACAAATTATAGGAAAAATAATTTTCTTGGAATATTATTTGAGGAGTAGAAATTATTCCGAAATTTGGCAACGTTTAACATTCCTAAGTTCGCAACTAGCGAAAATAACGGTACCGCTCGGAACAAAGGCATTGCGGGGGAGAGTTATAACCTTTTCGCCTTTACTTGACTTGCCTGGTTAGTTCTGAGTGAAACATGGGTCGAGTAAGAGCAGGTTATACGTCTAAATTTAAACTTCAAGTGGTGCATTACGCACAAGAACACGGAAATCGAGCAGCAGGGAGAAAATTCGACGTTGACGAAAAAAATGTGCGAAGATGGATACTAACGAAAGATGCCCTTGAAAAAACGTCACAAAATCGACAATCTTTCCGCGGAAAGAAAGCTAAATTTCCAGAACTTGAAAATAAACTTTTGCGATATGTGCGTAATACACGGCGGATGGGTTTTCAGTGTCTGTGGAAATGATTCAATTTGAAGGCCTCAAAATAGCGGACAGAATGAAAATTCCTCGTAATGAATTTAAGGGAAGTTATGGATGGGCAAGGCGCTTTATGGCCCGACATGATCTTGTAATTCGGCGACGGACGTCAATAGCGCAGCGCCTTCCCGACACATACCAGGAGAAACTGCTTGCATTTCAAAAACATGTCCTGAAATTAAGAAAGACGCACAACTACACCATGGGAGCTATTGGAAATGTTGATGAAACTCCTGTGTTCTTTGAAATGCCGGGTGAAAGTACAGTGAACAAAGCAGGCGAAAAAACAGTGCATGTGCGGACTGCAGGAGCAGAAAAGCAGCGGTGTACCGTAATGCTTGGTATCACTGCTGATGGAAACAAACTACCATCATTTGTAATCTTCAAACGCAAAACATTGCCGAAAGAAAAGCTTCCACCGGGAATTTTGGTGAGAGTTCAAGAAAAAAGATGGATGACAGAAGAGCTCTATCTGGATTGGTTGAAATCAGTGTGGTTTCGGCGCCCAGGCGCACTTTTACGTCAGCGGTCAATGTTAGTGGTTGACAGTTTTCGAAGCCATTTAACTGAAAATGTGAAAGTGAAGATGAGGCAGGAGAAAAGTGATATGGTTGTGATACCACGGGGGATGACTGGCATGTTACAACCACTTGACGTGTCAATAAACCGTCCTTTCAAGTCTCATTTGCGGCGCTTTTACCGGAACTGGAGATGCGGTTCCACGGAGATGACGCCGACTAGACGACTGAAGAAACCTTCATTAAGTCAAATGTGTGAGTGGATTGTGGCTGCATGGAACACCATACCAGAAGAAATGGTTTCCAAAAATTTTAAAGTCACATCCATTTCCAACGCAATGGACGGGACTGAAGATGACGCTGTATGGCTGACATCACCTGACAGCGAAACTTCGAGCGAGAGCGACATCGACAGTAACGAGTCAAGTGATGAACAGTAATACGGTTCAATTACCGTGGACCAACTTCAGAAAGTGTCGCATAATTTATTCATGTTTGCAAGCAGAAGGGGGTCACTTTCAGCAGATGTTATAAAGCATGGTGAGTTTGTATTGTCTATTTACAGTATTCTTGTAAATGTGTGCATGTACAGAAACTGATGTAAGAGTATCAGCGACACGACTGCACTCTCGCTAGCGGGGAAGGGCACAGTAGTCGCGGAGAAACGATCCATCCGCTCTACGCTGCTGCCCCGATTTCCTCGATCTTTGAACACCCTGTATTACTAATTATGAATATAATTTTTTTATAATGAAGTGTGATTTCGAATATTTCGAATATAAGCCGCACCCCAGTTTTCCTCTTGAATTTTTGGCAAAAAATGTGCGGCCTATACATGCGTAAATACGGTATTTTGGTATCTTCTGGTGTCTGGTGATATTTTTGTATCATCTGTTGATATTGTGATATCTTCTGGTTTGTAGGGATATCTTAGTTCATGTGGTAGCCATTGTACTTATTGAACCGATTCGCTTGTCAGTGTATGATGCCGACAGTGGCATCGCAGGACCGTGCCTTGTGCCCAGCTCATAGCAGGAATGTTGCCCAGGGACTGAGTGAGCGGTGCTCGCTAGCTGATTCACGTTACTGAGACACGGGCCACGGGATTTTGATATTCTCTTAAATTAAGAATTGCATAATTTGGAAAAGTAATTTGGGCCTCCAGAAGCCCCTCCCCCTAGATATCCAGCACGTACCGTACAAAGACCACCCATTTAATACCATTTAGGGAAACAATCGTTCTTTATTGTGAGAATCGTATGAAACACATACACGTAGGTTATGTCAATGACTTTGTGTCAGTTCGTAAACCGTGGAACAAGCATCTTCAAAATTATACATGAAACAGTTGCACAGAATGTTACAGGGTTATCTGCATCCATATTGTCCGCTTTGCATTCACTTCCTCTTTGTACACAGTGTGTCCAGGTTCTTTTAGGACTGTGTTCGTTAAAAATACAAGACGTGAATTATTTTCAAAATTTCACTCTCTTTAGTCCAAATAGGCAGCTTCTGAATCGATACAAGCTGGAATCGATTGAAAAGTTTTCGAAAACAATCACTGTACTCCTTTTGTGGAATCGCATTTAAAACTGCCGTAGATTCCGTTTGGATGTCCTGGAGGGCGTCGTGACGGTCTCCTTTCATCGCCAACTTAACTTTTGGGAACAATCAGAAATCTGCTGGAGCCAAATCTGGCCAATACGGAGGATGATCAAGGACCGTGATCCCTTTTCTGGTCAAAAATCGCGCACGATCTTCGGTTTGTGGAGTGTGGCATTGTCGTGGAGGACCGACCAGGAACCTAGCTCTCGATATTCAGGTCGAATTCGAAGAATTCTCGCTCACAAACGATTGAGGACTCCGAAATAATAATCAGAATTCACTCTTTGACCTTGTGGTAGAAATTCTTTGTGCATGATTCCTTTGAAATCGAAGAAAACTGTTAACAGTGTCTTCACTCGTCTCTTTTGCATGCCTACTTTCTTTGGTTTCTGCTTCTTTTGGCTCAACCACGCTGCACTCTGCCGCTTTGTGAGAGGTTCATATTGAAGCCACCATGTCACGTCACCAGTAGCAATCGATTTTGTCAATTTTGTGTCACTTTGAGCCGACCGTAACCTGTCTTTAAATGTTCCACTCTTTTTTCATCGCCTGACAGCGCGTGCGGTACAAACCGAGCACAGACCTTCCGTTTGCCCAAATCCTCGGTCAAAATTGATGTGCAGTACTTTTTGGTATTCCCAAAGGCTCCTCGATGAGTCTTGCAGAAACACACCTGTCTGATGCAAGGATTTCGGTCACTTTTTTTTTCACATTTTCTTCAGTGCGACTTGTTCTCGGCTTTGATGCACGTGGAGGGTCTTCAATGTCCTCCCTGCCGTCACGAAATACAGCATACCATCGAAAAATGTTTGAGCAACTCATTTACTACTGTACACACTTTTCATCATTTCGTACGCTTCTCCAGCTGTTTTGCCTAACTTCAAACAAAATTTGATGTTGGCTGTCTGTTCAACGGCCATTTCCCGACGAGCGCCAGAACAGTACTGTTACATTCAAGGTCAGAACACATGATGCAGCGATGCTTGCGCTTTGAAATTATAGACAGCCACAGCTGAAACTTCAAGAATCTTAACGCCACAAATCGCCAACAGATGGCATTGCAGGGCAAAATGTAATAAAAAAAAAAAGTCATAACGGATCCTGGACACACCGTGTGTATCGTGGCAAACCCATAAGGTTTGAATACAGGCAAGGATACAGTTGAGAATGTTGTGTACTCCACTGTGGAGTACGAATAGCGTCGGCAGTTCCGCAATACGGCTATGGAGGCGTCGGTGCGCCCCCCCTCCCAATTGGTGGGGCGCCGTACCCTATTTAGAAGTGAATTTCCATCACAATCAGAAGGGTAAGAGGAGTTACCAGGACACTCGAGAGTGAAGTGTGAATTTTGCTTGTAACCCAGCTGCGGTACGAATACTCACTTGTTCCCCCCAACCGGTTGGTGCCAGTGTGGGCTGTGGACATCCCATGTACAGCCCACGCGTACAGAAAGTTCACCTGAGAGAGCGAGACGGACAGAGAAGAGGTAGTAAGAGGCAGTACAGTTTGGGCCTGCAAGAAACGTTTTTTCTCCGGTTTTGAATGTTCCCAGGCAGTTCTCGTTTGTCATTTTAGAACTGAAGAGATAAAAGGGCTGCGATATGGGTTTTGTTAAGAGGAGAAGAGAGGAGGTGATTAGGCGTAAAACTGATATTACGACCGACGGTCAGTCTTGGTGTCACGCCTCTTCTGGGACCCAAAACCAGATTTCTGTAACACTCAGACAGTTGCGGTTTTGTCGATATAGGGCACCCTCTCTGATGAGAGGACGGATCTGTCATTTGCCACGGTCATAATAATACGAGTCATCTCTATCTGCAGTTTTACATGTAGCCATTCAACATAATCAGGTGTCTAGAGTTCGGTTCCTTTTGATTTCAAATTCTTTACAGTTCTACATGTAACTCTGTCATGTATACGTGTGTGTGTGTGCGCGCGTGTGTGTGTACGCGCGCCCCTAAAATAAATACAAGTCCTCTGTCAGTCTAGAATTGGCACAGCAGAACGTGCCGCAACTCGTGTACTACAACGGCCCCTATCTAAATAATATATAAGAATTAAGCCCGCATCTCACAGGAAACACATTGTGTGTCTCCGCTACAAAGCATAACCGGTTAACGCTGTTTGGGGAAACAGTCGCTGTTTATTGTGAGAACAATACGGAACACATTGTGCTGGCAGAATACGGACTTTCTGGATCATTTCAATACGATGCTGTGCAGCGAGTTCTCAGATCACAATTTCCCTATGACCGCCTTTAACATGAGGTCTGGGTGTTCACTTGGCCCACTCTGCGTCACATAATTCTGCATTCAGCTGATTACTGTGAGCACCGTAACCTTTCAGGCCCAAGATCGCTGCCGTTGGGAAGGATCGATGGCCCTCGCATCTGCTAGAACACAACGGCGCCTCTCTTTGTGTCTCTGGCAGCCGGAGGCAGATCCGCGTTGTTTTTGGTACAGGTGCATCACGTCTTACGAATTGCACTGCTTCTTTGAATGCACTGTTGCGCCAACAGAGTCCTGGATGTAAGTACATCCACATATACACGTATGTAAAGAGGCCTGAGTCCTGCTGTGCTGTCATTAGGTATGTTTGTTAACAGTCAGAATTGCATTTACATGCAAGCAGGACCAGAAGATGGCAGCAAACACACTGTTCTGTGGTAATATATTTTCATGTGTTAGAGGGACTGAGGGTGGGGTTTGGGCCGGCAATCGGATTTATTAGTCACTTAACGGGTCGTAACTACAAGTAACTGTAATAGCGTCGCTACCTCATGGCACAGCCACAATTGAAACTAAGCTCGAGTCTTGAGTCTTATTTTACGACCGACGGCCAATCAGCCAGTCTGTCGTGGAAAAAAGCACCCATGTGGAGCTTACGAGAAGATTTTTTTACTGTTAGACAGTTGCGGGTTTGTTGATGTCTCTGACGACAGGACGTACGTGTCATATACAGTCGCTGCTGGTCCTTACCAGCGCAGAAATTCTCGCGTCCGAGTTCCGTGGGACTCGCGACTATATTTTACTGTCTCAGATTCAAGACTTCGCATTTCGTCGCCTCCTACGACTTGCAGGGCTGCCGTGGAAGTATTCGATCCCGCCTCCACACGGGTTAGTCAAAGTCAAGGTTATATTACGACCAACTGTCTGTCGACACCCATTGGGGCCAGATCTTTTTTACTGTCAGATAATTGCGGGTTTTCTAATGTTGAGTGCTCTCTCTGACGAGAGGACGGATCTGTCGTTTGCCAGAGTCACGGTCAGAAGTAATAAGTTTGTTGTCAGTATGTACAGTTTACATTTTACATGCTATTAATGTATGCATATGTAATATACTCGTATACCAGGCCTCTGCCAGTCCGGGCCAGTACAGCAGATCATGCCCTATCATTAGTAGCTCCTGCTACAACAACAGTGTAGTCACTTGAACGGTCGTATGCTTGACCGCCGCCAAGTTTAAGCCTCTAATATTTCCTTTGTCGGGGTTCGCCTTGTCTAATGTTGCGAACATATGCTTTCGTTATTTTGTACGACTTCTGCTTGTTGCCTGCATAATTTTCTTTCTTAATCATATATGTACGGGAGTTTGAAAGCCATGTGCAAATCGCGAACCCGTGTGCGCGTTGGAAAATTGCAAGTGGTGCGGAGAATTTTGTTTTGCGGGCATCGCAATTTCAGTAGATGTTTGTCTACCGCAGAGTCCCAGGCCGAGCAAGCATAAGTCATGTTACTCCAAATCAGTGCTTTGTGGAGGGTCAATTTAATATTAGTGCTTAATCGCTCACTTTTGAATAGGGAATATATTCTAATAAATGTTTTGGAGTCCTTGGCTTCGATCATTTCTGTGTGTAATTTCTATGTAACCCTCCTATCGAAGATTATACCTAGATATTTTGCACTATTTACAAATTGAATATTTCTTCCATTCAGTGTAAAATGAGACATATGCGGACGACGACTACGAGAGAAGGAGATCCCCTGAGTCTTATCTTGTTTAATTGCAATGTTCCAGGCCTTACGCGAGGCTTCTATTGAGCTGAGACCACGTAGGATTTTTCTGACAACAAAGCCTTACTTGCGATCTGTCGCATACACATCCTGGAACTAAGCTGAAAGTCAAAGTTACATTGTGACTGACGGCCAGTCAGTCAGTAAGTCAGTAAGTCGAGCCCCATCTGGTGCGCATGACCAGATATTTACTACTGTTTGACAGTCACGGTCTTGTTTTTCTCTGGGGCGCCCTCTCTGACGAGAGGATAGGTCTGTCTTTTGTATATGCTGCTGGCCCTTGTCCCTTGGGACTTGCGACCATATTTTACTGTCTCACAGTTGAGACTTCCCTTTTCGTCGCCTTCTACGACTCCAAGTCCAATTCACATTGCGACTAACGGTCAGTCAGTCATTAAGTCTTGGCGTCGAGCCTCATCTTGGGCTCATGACCATATATTTATTACTTTTCGAAAGTTACGGTTTTGTTTCTGTGGGGCGCCCTCAGTGGGGCGTCTGCAGTGTTTACAATAACTCGGAGATGCTGGACTATCTCTTCTGGCGATTACCCCAAGGCTGACTTCCAAGATGGCTCGATCACGTCTGTCTTCTCCGAAGACTATTCCGAGACTGACTGGCTTCGTGTCGAAGCTGGGCTATTTATCCTTGGCCGCTGCTAGGTAACGAACCCTCTGTTATAGCGGTGGAGACGTTTCATTGTTGGCTCCGCGTTTCCTACGCAATAACCCATTGTTATCGCGTTGTCTCTGTGGGAACCTTCGCGTATTCGTCGTAACCGTGGATATTCCTGTTAGAACTACAGTAGAGCAATTGTTGTTTATTATGCAACGGTCTATTCTGGCGTTTCCACAGAAGTGTCTCTTCTGGACTCCAGACACGTTACATTCTGACGAGAAGACGGGTCTGTCTTTTCTATATAATGCTGGTTCTTGCCAGCGCAGTCTTTCTCGGGTCCGAGTCCCTTTGTACTCGCGACCATATTTTACTGTCTCAGATTTGAGACTTCCCTTTTCGTCGCCTCCCACGACTCACAGGGTCACGGTGGAGGCATTCGACCCCGCCTCCGCACGGGTTTCTCTCCTACGACTCGGCAGTGCAGTTCTCTTATAGACCCTCAGCCAGACAACGGGAATACGCCTCGCTTCCTTGTTGCCTAGTCGCCGTGTTTACAGGTGTTGCTGGGCAACGCTATCGAGAGCTGTTTATTGCTGCATAGCAACCGCGGCATCCCCCGCTACGTCACTGTTGCCACCTGCCAAGTGACAGTGGGAAGCGCTGCCACGTCAACTGAATTCTCAAGTCAGTCACGATAAACTAAGCTCTAAACTTTGTCGCGCTTAAACCTTTAGGCACAACCGCGCAGAAAACACCACCTGAAACAGTTCCTCCATTGTTGCTTCTGCTGTAGAGACGTGTTTATCTCGCCGTTGTTTAGCAACGTCGCGGACCACATCTGTTGTTGCGTGTTGATTCGTTGTGGTGGGAACCTATTTGTTTGCGATCGTCACCTAGTAACGGGTTAACATTGTACAGTATTCTTCTTAGCAATGGTAGTTAGTAGTAGTTATGAATAGGACCATGAGATATCATCATACGATTGCTGCTCTGCCATTATGCATCTTTATTATCAGTGAGAATGATAGTACTTATGAATAGGACCTGTAGATGGCAGCAAACATTTGATATTGTCACGTATTTTTTTATCAGTTGTCGTTTGTAGTACTTACGAATAGGACCAGGAGGTGACACATAACATTCTATATTCTGTCATTATCTATCTTTATTGGCAGTCGGAGTTACTAGTACTTACGAATAAGACCAGAAGATGGCAGTAACCTCTTGCTTTAGGAGCAGACAGAGGCCCGTGTAAACAACGAATTGCGATTTCCATATGTTCCCTTATATCGCTTTTCCCCTGAAGCACGCCTAGGGCCTGAGTCCGGCGTGATAATTGAGATTCCCTTGGCCTCCATAACCTTAATCAGCCCATGAAAAGGATTTTTATCTACACGACCGTGGAATGAGTTTCAGACATTCTGAACTTCAGACTTCGTTCCTGTGGGTCTATAAATGCAAGCACCTCCATCGGGAGGAGAGTCCCTGTCGGGGTATAACGGCCTGTTCCCTTCCAGATTGCCACCTGCTGCCGTGTGCCCAGCGACTGGCCGGCTGGTTCCTGGTTCGGGTCATGAACTAGGCGCAACAGTTATATTATTTAATGCACAATTTTTGGCGCATTCGCAACGAAATGTTTAAAAATGTCCACTCCCCCAAAGTGTATGTGTGTGTTTCGTGTGATTGTCACAGTAAACAGCGACTGTTTCCCTAAACAGCATTAAAACCGGTTGGGATTTGTAGCGTTTCTTGTGAGGTTCGAATTGAATTCTTATATATTATTTGAAAGTGTATTTGTGTGTTTCGTACGATTCTCACAATAAACAACGACTGTTTCTCCAAACAGTATTAACCGGTTGGGCTTTGTATCGGGGACGTAATGTGTTTCCTATGAGGTACGCATTGAATTCTTATATATAAGGAGCAGTCAAATAAAATGGGTCACCACGCTTAACTCACACGGCGCGCAAGTTGGTAACACTGGAATATGCTTACGGTACGAACATCTGGTGGGGACTCGGGAAATCACAGTGACAACGTGCCATTGCACACTAGTCGTTTCTTTATTGTGTTGGAAGTAAGGTTAGCGCTACGTGTGGTCATCCAGCATCAGTAATGGTAGCGGGTAAAGAAGAACAGCGAAGCGTAGTGCGCTTTTTTACTGGTGAAGGAGTAGGAGGACGAGAAATTAATCGTCACATGTCTGCTGTTTAGAGGGACGTGTGTCACTGCAAGATGCTGCTCGCCCAGGACAGGCTCATCGTGTCATCACTCCTAATGTTATTACTGTGTTGGGTGGTCACATCGTGGCAAACCCACGGATCACCGGAAGAAATTAGTCTTTTGATGGGAATAAGTCACGGTTCCATACATGCCATTGTGACGAAACACCTGCTGTACTGCAAAATCTGCGCGCAGTGGGTTCCACATCAACTCACGGAGGAACAGAAGACTCAGAGAATGGCTGCACCACTGGGTCACTTGCAACAATACCATGAGGAAGAGTATGCTTTTATGTCCCGTACTGCCACTGGGGACGAAACTTGGTACCACCATTTTGAACCCGAGAGCAAACAGCAGAGCCATCAGTGGAAGCACGTGAATTCTCCCCCACCGAAGAAATCCATAGCCGTACACATAAGTTCCGGTAAAGTGATGATGACGTTCTTCTTGTACTGCAAGGGCCCTCTGCTTGTCGAATTTCTTGAGCATGGGGCCACAATCAGTGCACAGCGCCATGAAGACACTTTGCAGAAACTGAGACGTGCCATAAAGTCAAAACGCCCTGGAATGCTATTGAACGGCGTTATCTTTCTTCATGATAATGCGCGCCCCCACAGTGCCAACTCTGAGCAATACGCTTCAGAAATTGCTTCAACATCCACCGAAGAGCCCATGTCTCTCTCCATGTGATTTTCACATTTTAGGAGACCTGAAGAGACTTTCGTGGACATCGGTTTGCATCGGACGAAGACGTGTGTGGCTGGGTAGATCGGGCCGAAAATTTAAAAAAAATGTACCGTGTTCAGAGAAACAATTCCTGTTCAGGAAAGACTGGCTGTAACACTGCGATTTTTGGCAACTGGAGATTCATACGTCAGTCTGCAATACCGCTTCAAAATATCTAAGCAAACAATCAGCTCCATTATCCCTGAAGTTTGTCGCGCTCTTGTGGAAGCACTGAAGGACTTCAGTGAGGTTAGTGAATACTTGTTATTAACCACTAAATGAAGCAAACAATATGATTTCTTAGTTACTATAGGTTTCTGACGATGGTGTATAACACACTGATATGTTGGGTTTTTGGACTTTATCCATCGTCCTGGTTTTTAAGATAAATAAAAACACGACGTTTCGGAAACTGGATCTGTTTCCGTCATCAGGTGAAGGAGAGTGTCCATTGGTTTGTCCAGTGATTGAGGCTAGCTCTTTCTAACGGACCCAACTGAATAGGTGTTCTCCTTCACCTGAGGACGGAAAGAGATCCAGTTTCCGAAACGTCGTGTTTTTATTTCTTATCTTAAAAACCAGGACGATGGATAAAGTCCAAAAACCCAACATATCAATATGATTTCTTGTTTCTTGGTTACTTTATTTGATATTTCTGAAATAAAACAGAGCTTGCACATTAAAGCAAAACTAAATGTGAAATATTGACTTGTTTCAATAATTTATTTTTGATGCAAGTGTTTCTGCATTAAAGGCACTTGTGTAAAATCGTTACATCAACACATTTATATAAGGTCCTGAATAAGGAAGTCGTCTTCTGAGGCCGTAGCTGGGAAGGAGATTGAGGCGAGGAAACTGCTGAAGGTGTATTCAGGACAGGCTGCTGATTGTTGCTGGGAAAAAACTGCGGGGAAGAAGAAGTCGGGTAGTGGGCATTTGGTGACCCTTTGCAGTAGAGGGCCTGTTCCGTAAGTCGCAGTGTTGTAATTTTTATAAAAACCGCTGCTTTTCCTAAGAAAAATACTCATGATATCGTTCTGGATAGCACAGCGAATAGATTCATCGTGTACCGTCAATTTGCAGGCGACCAAATTTCCAAAGTGTTGGCATTCATCGTGATGCAACGCGTGCACGTCCAGACTGGCACCACTGCAACGCGTGTCGTTCCTTTGATGCGACAGGAAAAGACCGCCAAGTGAGCGAACAGCCCGTTGTGTATCACCGTATCAAGATTTTGCAACGGAGGGATGATACGGGATACCGTCCACACTGATACGATACGGAGATACGCAACAAGTCTGGACTGGGCTTAACAGAACGAGAAACGCAGCGAAGCCGCCTCTGATGTCAGGCGGCCCCCCCCCCCGCAGAGAAATTGCGTCTAACAAAAACTATTGAGACTAGATGGGCTGCATCTGTGGAGATCTCACGTAGTTGCCGGGATGGGGGGCACTGTTGCTGTGTTTCTGGCGTTTGCCCATCCCGACGCCCACACTAGTACCGCCTCTGTCTTTCCATCTACTGCAAATTTTCTGTAAAAGACAGCCGAACGTATTTTCTTTAAATTTAATATTTCAGAGTTGTAGTAAAATTTTTTTCACATTCTAATTTCCGTCCCACTGGGCTGGCCCGGGTTCGATCCAAGGTATTTTTGGTGGACATATTGGCACTGGGATAGGTTATCTCCGATTGCTTCGGTTTCTCCTGCCAGTTCTCATTCTGACAAGTGCTGCATAATCGTCCTACCATCCGACGCCATGTGGTCTCGATACTTACATCGTCGTTAAGTAATATGCATATAAACTATCCGGACAGCAATACCGAACACTCCACATAAAGGCTATGCGCGTGTCTGCGCGCACAACTCGAGCGTTACTCGCTTAATTTTCTTCGGAGCGGAAAATGTTCCGGACAGAAGTTGCAGTGACAAATTAAACACATGGTTTATGTTCAGTACACTTTTCCCACGAGACTTTCGGTCTTAGAGACAATTCAACAGAAACCAATGGGCGCTGTGCTTACATGGAATATTTCTTAACAATTCTAAGGATTGTTACATTTCAGCCTACTTTTCTTGTTTCGAAAAATAAAATAAATGGAGGCTTATGACATCACGTTGCTGTCTGTGTGTCTGTCTGTGTATCCTCCCCCAAGTTCTTCGTTTTCAATGCGGTCCGTATCGTATCGAAGGAATGTAGTTCATTATTTCTTCCCAGAACTTGTTTTTTATTTTTTTCATCGTATGTAATTTAATTGCAATTTAAATATAATTTATACCTTATCGTGTAGTACACGAATGTACATTGGAAATGGATTCTCTTACTTCCGCTTTCCAGTAATATCGTACTTTATAGGATTTTACTTTCTGACACCGGTGGCTATGAAGAGTTCTGTTCTCTGATCTATAACTCCGCGAAGCTGGTTTCTTGCTTGGCTTATTCTTCTACCCAGAAGATGGAGGCGACAAATTCCTCCGAAACGTCGGTTGATTTTCGGCGGAGTACTCGGCTATGTATCCCAGAAGGTAGAACTATTCATAGTGTATTTTATCTAATCATATACATTCCGCCTGATGAGGGTTCACGCTGCCGAAGTACAACGCCGTGAAACAGACTGCACGATTAGTGAGCGCATACTAGGCGGAGTGAAGCATGCATTCTGCTTCGCTGGCCAATCACAGAAGAGTAACTGGGACACGATTTGTGTTCTGTTTCCATACATCGTTCTGTGTTTGAGGCACTTTGCTACAAGTGAGCAGGTCCTTGGTTCGATTCCCGACGAAATCATTGGATATTTCATTTTACCTAAACCTCCCAACCTCAGTGTCCCTGGGGTCGACTCAGCGTCTAACATAAATGAGTACCAGGAATCTTCCCGGTGGTTAATGGCGGCCGGCGCGTAAGGCTGACAACCTCACCACCATTTTTGAGCCTATTATCTAGAAAACGTGGGAGCCTCTACGTCTCACAACCCTATGGGCCCCCAGCTTTACCTTCCGTGTTTGTGTCACCAACTGCACGGAGCACTGTCTGTCTTGAGAGGCCGATACAGGTTCAGCCGCCCACATTCCCAACATTTAATGGAACCCAAAGGTTCGTTGCCGTGTACACAAGAGCCCGCCACTGGTCCCTATCATGAACCAGATGAATCCAGTCCACACCAACATGTCTACTTCTTTGAGATTCATTTTAATACCCTGTAATCTGTGTTTCTGTCTTCCTGGTGGCCTCTTTCCTTCGGGTTTTCTCACCAGCAAACTGTTTGCAGTTCCCATCGTCACGGACTGTAATTCTGTCTTTCGCTGCATAGAGCGGTCCGTGTTCCAGCTTCTCCTCAGACCCTACGGGATATTCGGTACGACCACTAAGAGACTGTTGATTCAAAGCCGTGGATAAAGCTCCTCAGCTTGTAGGGGTGAAACTTTGAAGTGGGTTTCTGCTATTCACCTCCCCCCTCAAGACGTGTGTCACTCTACGCACCGGAAGATATATGGCCGGCTTAAGGCTGGGATTCCGCGCGCGGAAGTTTCTTGCAACACGTCACTTCCGTTGCGGCAGGCCTTTACTTCAGTGGCAATTACTTGTGTTCCCTGGGCCCTGTTCCTACTGAGCCGGGCTTCTTATATCTTATCATGGAGCTGTACCGCCGAGTGGAGCTCTGTAAGCTACTGACGTCACGGTAAAGCCCCGCCGTGAGACGCACGGTCGCCGGAATGAAACTGCAATTGGTAGCTCAGTCGGTATAGTGACCAGGTTACGTGTTATACGTCCGAGTCTGGGCGTGATATTTTTCTGCACAGCGTCCAGACCGGATCTGGGGCCCACCCAGCCTGCTCTCCAATTGGTACCGGTGACTCTCCTCGGGCGTAAAAGGGCCGGGGCGTGAAGCTGGCCATCTAGTGCCAAGATTGAGAATGCACCTCCCCTCAACAATACGTCTTCATGGCGTGGTGCCTAATCAAGCACGGGCACAATTTAACTTATTCTGACAACAGTGCCGGTATCTTCTGAGGTGTGACGCCGTGTGACGCCGTCCAATAGCTCAGCGATGTTTCGAAGTAGCGTACTGCGTCTGTCTTCATGGTCGAATATGAGATAAGCATGTAACTAGGAGCAAGTTCGTACACGGCGCTGTGGGCCAGGAGACAGGAAGCCCCAGTCCCCGTCCGTTGAACTTCTACTGCTAACTGACGATATCCTCAGTATAGCGCAACATGGTAGTTTAAGAATGATTGGACAGGATTGGCAAGGAGCGGTCATGATCCAGTTTGAGTTGCTATCCGTGCGTTTGCCTGGAAGTGCTGGGGATAAAAACGAAACATTTCATTCAGGATAACAGCGCAGGAACTGCATAGTTCTTATTAGCGTCCATTTGTCTATAATGCATCTAAATTGCAACACTTTTTATTTTACCCTTCAATACACTCTCTAACACTACATGTTTCGGCCTCAAACGGCAATCTTCAGGTGTCTTTCCTACAGATATTCAATTAAGATTGCATCGAAATTGTGTCGAAACTGCTGCACTGTTCCAGTTCATTTTAAAAACTACACGCTGTAGTCTTCTTTTTAATTAAAATGAGATAAAATTCTTTTATAATTTGTTACTTATTGTTTTGCTTCACTCAGGGTGTCGTCATTTCCGTAAAATATGTTTTCCTTGGCAGCTCNTGGTTTGTGTTTCCTCCTCAACGTGTGGTGTTGTCTTTACTAGTGCCGATGTGGTGTAATTGTTCCTGTATTTATGTGTTCTGGTTGTGAGGAGTGGGGAAAGATGGGGGGGTATAATGTTTTGTTGTGTAATTTTGTATAGTATTTCAAATATAGGGTTATGTGTTTCAATGTTAGCGTCACTCAGACGTAATCTTCTTCACTAGTTTTGTAAATATGGTATTTCTCCAGTGTATTTAGACGTTTTCCTTTTCCCCCCGTTGTTATGGTTTCCATGGTGTCTGTTATTGTGCCGTACCTGTGTCCGGTATTCAGTATATGAGTTGAATATCCTGAATTACTATTGTTACTTTTTATGTCGTGAATGTGTTCTTTATATCTGGTTTTGAATGTTCGCCCTGTTTGTCCGACATATTTTAATGGGCAGTCTAAACATTTCCTTTGATAGATTCCACTTTTATTATATTTATCCATTTGTGGTTTTGGGTTTAGTATATTTTGTATTGTGTTTTGCGTGCGGAAAGCTACTTTTATTTTCGTATCTCGAAAAAGTTTTGTCATTTTTCTTACTTCCTTTCCGCTCTACGTAAAGGCTATCCACTTTGTTTTTTTGTTGCTGGAGTTTTCATGTGTGTTTTGTTTTTGTTTCTTCTGGGGGGGGGGTATGTTGCTAGATAATTTTATGTTGTATTCATTATTGTATAATATATTTTGAATTGTGTTCATTTCTATGTCTTTTGCTTTTCTCGTTATTGGGTATGTATATAACCGATTTATTAAATAGTTTATGCCTGATCGTTTGTGTTCATGTGGGTGGCATGAACCGTTTGTTATTATAATGTCAGTTTGTGTAGGTTTCCGATATATTGCAAATTCAAGGTTGTTGTCATTTCTATGTATTACTAGATCTAGGAAACTGATAGACTGAGACTCTTCTTTCTCCATAGTAAAATTATAGTTGGTTGTGCCTTGTTGAACTCATTAAGTGTGTGATCAATATTTGTTTATTTTGATCATATACTCGTATTATCAATATGTCACCAACGTATCTAGAATATGCAATTATTTGCTGCTTTATTAGGATGGGATATATGTTGTATGTATGTTTCTGCCAGTATTGATGATGTTGGTGCTCCCATTGCTAGTCCGTCTGTTTGTTTGTAATATTCTTGGTCAAATTGGAAATAATTTTGTTCTATTATTGTACTTAACATTTTCATGATTTCTTTTTGTATATTTGTTTCAGTTCCTAGATTTTCTAGTGTTTTATTTATTATGTTTTAATGGCCATTTTCGGTATGTCTGTGTACATATTCTCCATATGAAATGAACAAAGTTTCATGTTCTTGTTGAGCGCGATGTCTTTTAGGTCTGTCTTAAGATGTATAGAATTACGAACATTATATGTATTTGGTAATTGTACGTAATTGTTTAATATTTTGCTAGTTGTTTAGCCAATTCGTAAGCGGGGCATTTTCCCAGTTGATTATAGGTCTAATAGGTGTGTTTTGTTTATGTAGTTTTATTGTAGCAAGTAAGTTCGGGGCTATGGGATTCATGTTTGTGTATCTCCATCTGTGTTCTTTTTGTATGGTGTTATTACAATGTTTTAGTGTTTGTTTTACGATTTTTGGTATTCTTGGGTTGTATCGTTTTTATCTTTGAAACTGGTTATCTTTTATGAAATTTTTACTTTGTGTTTGTATTCATCTGAAACTCTCGTCAGAGTCAGTGAGTCAGTCCGTCTTGTTTTCAAGCCAAATCTGGGATTCATGACCGGTTATTAGGTACTGTTGGGTTTGTCGATGTGGGGCGGCCTCTCTGACGAGAGGAGAGGTCTGTCATTTTCGTTGTCTTAGTCTGCCCCTGTCAGTCCAGGATCGGAAAAGCAGATCATGCCTATCTTAAGTAGGTCACGTTACAACAGCAGCGTAGTCACTTGAACGGTCGTAAGCTAGATTTCCTCTGTCTGGCTTCGTCTTGTTCTATACCGCAAACGTGTCTATTCCCATGATTTTGTATGATTTCAGCTTGCTGCCAGCACAAGTTTGTTGTATAATCGTATACATAAGGAAGGTTGAAAACCGTGTGCAAATCGCGGACCGGTGTGCGCCTTGGAAAGCTTCCAGTGGTGCGAGAACCTTGCTCTGTAGGCGCTGGAGTTCTAGGAGCTAGTTGTGTGCCGCTGATTCCCAGGCGATGCAAACGTAAGTCACTACAGCGAAACTGTCGCCCAAGTCGGTTCGGTATATGAACCTCGACAGTGGCCGGCCTTGTCGACCCACGATAGGGTGAGAAGCTCCAGTATATCTCGACTGGACAGGGAGAGAGGTTCGGGCGTGTCCTTTACATGCTAGCTCTTCGAACTGCATCCCCCTGACTCGAAGCTTCCACATCTGGGAACAAGTTACAATTTGTCCCCAGATGTAGACAGATATACCGCTAAACGCACAGTGATGTAGCGACGTCAGAGATTCGAACTCGGGTCCTCCAAAGAGCCACTTACTTGACCGGTTACAGGGATTTGGAAGGAAACCGTGTTGGCCTGATAGTGGTGCTGTCCTGGCATTTACCTCAAGGGACAGGTAAACCGTGAAGATCCTCGGCGAGGGTATCGGGTGTTCCGGGCCGGGACCCGAACAGAGGATCTCCCCGAATACAAGCCCACAGCGTCACTTGTAACGGATGTGGACACTGGTGCCAGGCAGGTCTTTATTGCACTGCAATACGCAATTCCTGCGGCCTGTTTAAGGGATCAGAAAACAGACAACTTGCTTTGCTTTTCTGACTTCGAGGATGAAATTGAATCGACTCCGTTGTTCTGAGCCCAGATTATCGGTTCCCCCACCTCTCCTAGCAATCCTGCTGCTTGATAAATGTGATGACGGTGACTGTGGACAGACAGACGTGCCTGTTCTTCGCGTCTGCTACATGATTGAAAACCCGACGCTGCAATTCACAGACACGCGACTCTTACTTCAGGGATTGAAAAGCTCTCTTCATCCACACTCTCAGGATTATGTTCCTCGGAAACGTCGGTTGAATCCCAGATATAATTCTGATATCTTCCGATGGGAGAACGTCAAATCCAACAGTACAAAGCTACCACGAACCCTTTAAAACTCAGTGGTAACTGTATGTACCACCTGCTTTTGCGCATTTATGTGTCTGGCAGGAAGAACTGTCACAGCATACAGCAGACGAGAGGCAGGAAGGCAAGTGCATGACGGCCAACTTGCAGAATTTGAACACTGACAAGGGCAACGTAAAGAAAGTGTGTGATGAATGTCACATTGTTAAGGCAAAACATGTACTGATGCAGTGTGTTTCTTGTGAGGTATAAAATGAATTCATTGATTCAGGGAACTTATTCACCGCCTTATGTTCCGACAGAACACAGCATGTCTCCCACAGATGGCGCTAACGGTAGTGGGTGTTGTCACAGCATGTCTCCCACAGATGGCGCTAACGGTAGGTGGGTGTTGTCACAGCATGTCTCCCACAGATGGCGCTAACGGTAGGTGGGTGTTGTCACAGCATGTCTCCCACAGATGGCGCTAACGGTAGTGGGTGTTGTCACAGCATGTCTCCCACAGATGGCGCTAACGGTAGGTGGGTGTTGTCACAGCATGTCTCCCACAGATGGCGCTAACGGTAGGTGGGTGTTGTCACAGCATGTCTCCCACAGATGGCGCTAACGGTAGTGGGTGTTGTCACAGCATGTCTCCCACAGATGGCGCTAACGGTAGGTGGGTGTTGTCACAGCATGTCTCCCACAGATGGCGCTAACGGTAGGTGGGTGTTGTCACAGCATGTCTCCCACAGATGGCGCTAACGGTAGTGGGTGTTGTCACAGCATGTCTCCCACAGATGGCGCTAACGGTAGGTGGGTGTTGTCACAGCATGTCTCCCACAGATGGCGCTAACGGTAGGTGGGTGTTGTCACAGCATGTCTCCCACAGATGGCGCTAACGGTAGTGGGTGTTGTCACAGCATGTCTCCCACAGATGGCGCTAACGGTAGGTGGGTGTTGTACGAGTAAAGCACGTAAATTTTCGGTTTTCGTCTAATTCGTCTCAGGGTTGGGTTTCAGTTTAATTGCGTGGGTCTATTTTCGACTGCCTTTTTCTTAATTATAGGTGTTCGTAGAGATTTCCACAATTGTTATTGTAAATTGTCTCATTAACCTCGCCGACACGTCTTGATCCTCCGTCCTTATGTACACGTATTTGACTGTTTTCCTTTTTCTCGTGTCTCGAAGCAAACGCTGAGATGGTTCCCAGTTGATATAATACTGCGTACTTCTCATACAGCCCATCATAGGTAATCGGCTCACAGATGGCGGTGGGGTTGTCAGCCTTAGACGCCGGCCGCCCTATACCGCTAGGAAGATTCCTGGTACTCATTTCTGTTAGAGGCTGAGTCAACCTCAGCACCAGAATGCGGCTGGAAGGATTAGGTCAATCGAAAAGTCCAGTGACATCGGGAATCGAACCCGCGACCTTCCGGTGTGCAGCATTGTGCTTCAACCAACTACGCCACCGCGTACCCCCATAATTACGTCAGTAAACTTTAATTTTTCAATCTGCATGTTATCCCCTGTTTCAAGTTTTACTGTCTCGCTATTGTTAATATAGAGGGAAGAGCGGACACCTCGAGCTGCCGGTAGTATTGACTGGAACTACAGATTATTTTTGTACACTATTTAAAAGGAGAATTACATCTCCATTTTGTTCGTTAAGTGATCACGTTGCCCTGAATGGAAATATCCACGGTAACGTCTTCCTGCTCCCACAGCGTCGCAATGCTTTGCGTCACTTCCCCACCGTCTCACATATCATTATGTGTTTCACGAAAGAAACAGATGGGGAGGGTGGCCAAGTAAAGAGCGATGTGTTGAATGTCGCAGGAAGAAAGGGATGTATAAATGGCTGAAGATGATAACGTCACGTGACAGATGGAGAGGACAGGTTACAGTGATGGCTCGCACCGTGTTGTGCAGTGGCTGGCAATCAGAAAGTACAGCGACTGACGTTTTAACCAGGAAGGGGGGATATATATGTATAGGACGTTTTTCAGAAGCAGGAAAACTGACAGAGTGTCACGGACTGCAGGTTGCCCTTGGAGCTTTTGTTGTGTACGTGGCAAGCGGTCTGCGTGGTTTGTTAGCGAGGGGGGGCCCGCTGCGTCAGGGATTTGCGCGGGCCACATTGCATGCTTTATCGGTAACGTAATTCAAGTTCTATGTATTATCCTTGTATATAACATATATATAACTAGTTTTGTAAGCGTCTTATTTATTACTGTCATTACGTAGTTTCGGGTTACCATGGCAACGAGTTATCGAACGTCAACACGTTACATGAACGGAAGTTATATAGTGAGTAAGCAGTGTATTGTTTCGTTGTATTGTCTCTGCTATGTGAGTGAGTACTCATATAGTGGTGTGGATGAAGCTGTCCACTCAGTTGTATGTAGTGCCCAGGACAAGAAAGGCGGAGGTATACCTCCACTCCCAGTGTCACCGAGCTCTGTGTAGAAGTGCTTGCTGCATTACAGAAACTGCTTCTGGATATTTATTAGTGCTGGCATGATATCCACCATCTAGCTAATATCATTATGCTGTGTTCGCCGCTCCTGTTTGCACATTCCAGCACGTTGCTTGTTCAGATGTTTCGCGCAGTGCTGCGCACACCCGCTGCAGGCTTCACCCCCCCCCCGCCAAATGGGTGCTGGGCCGTAAGTCCACTATAAAAACCACCTTGTCCACCAGACTTCTCGTCCAATCCTCGATATCACGAATCCCCACCTTATAATTCTCGGTTGCTAACTCGCGCATTCTGCTGCAAGTATTGTCACACCTGACTTCCAATTCTCAATGGCGAGCCTTTCCTTCAGAGTATGAAAATCGTCAAAATAGTATTTGAAAATTCAGTCCGTACCTCACAGGAAACGCATCACATCTCCGCTACAAAGCCCAAACGGTTAACGCTGTTTGGGGAAACAGTCGCTATTTATTGTGAGAACGATACGGAACACACAAATACACATCCAAATAATATATAAGAATTCAGTCCGTACCTCACAGGAAACACATTACGTCTCCGCTACAAAGCCCAATCGGTTAATGCTGTTTAGGGGAACAGTCGCTGTTTATTGTGAGAACCATACGGAGCACTCAAATACACTGCAGATAGAATTAATATTTTTAGTGTGTCAAAGCAGGTAGTAGATGTAACCACTATGATGTAAGTGATTTGGAGTTCAGGTTTATACCACAAATTATTTTGTTCGTTAGTTCACCCAGAACAGCTCTGATGTGTCAGAGGGATAAGTCGCGTTGCTGTGACATTCCTTCATGTGTTTCGTTCGGTTTTATCTTTAGACTGGACGGTGCTTTTCGCCTGTACATACAGGTATTGAGGAGAAGAGCTGGGAGCGCAGTACGCAGACTAGAATATTCCATTCAATTATTCTACTCGTTTTCTGACCAATTCTTTCAATCGGAATGTTAAAAGACACGTTAGTTCAATCCCACGTCATGTCCGTATCAACTGTTGCGATGTGTGAACGTTATCAGGACGAGATGAGCCACTGCGCCTGCTCTGACAATGTTATCATATTCTGAGAATCGCTCGCTCTAACGTTTTTCAACATATCCCACTTTCAGCGTTCCGTTCCTGCATCACTTGAGCGCTAGGCATCGGGGGCACTCCCTGAAGGTTTACATGGTGGGGGGGGGGGGGCATAATATTTGCATACAAATTTATGTCTAATCCGTTGAAGAATATATTTACCGCGGTTACTTAATAAGCGCCACTTAATACAGAATGGAAGAATACATTTTTAAAACAATGTTGATTTTTGTTTTGACACTTGTTTCAAATTTAAATTTCTCCAAAACAGAACTGAGTGTGGAGAGGCGCATGTGTCTGCCAGTTCCCATGTTTGGAAATGCAAATGTCTATTCTGTGTGGTAACGCTGTGTATTCTGACAGGTGGATACCGACGTTTCGGAGGAACATATTGGCTTCGTGTGCAGTTCTTTATGATCTCCCGCTCCGCTTCCCATAATTTCAAATCCGATTTTAAAACAAGATTTCCAACCATTGATGCCGAAGGTTTATTACCGCATTCACAAGAGTTCGCCACTGATTTCTATCCAGAGCCAGATGAATCCTGTCCGCACCCTCCCACACTCTGTCTGTAAGATTCATTTTAATATCGACCTACTTGTCTCCTTCCTTTCAACATTTAATGTCGAATTATATAGCCATTTCTCTCCTCTGATGCATACTATATGCAATCCCCATCTCATCCTCCATGATTTAACGAACCTGGTCATAGTCGATGAAGAGCAAAAATAATTAAGCTCTTGACTATGCCATTTTCTGCACCCTCCAGGAACTTCCTCCCCTTAAGTCCGACCATTCTCCTCACCACCCTGTTATCAACCACCCTCAGTGTATGTTCGTCCCTTAATGTGAACAACCAAGTTTCACACCCATACAAAACTATAAACATAATTATGAAACCAGTTTCAAGCCTTACGGAAACAGAAAATCCCCTGTTAACTTTTATGTATTTTAGGAAAATGTGGACTTGAGCAGTTAGCATAGGTACAGCCACATTGACTGTTGCTGCAGGTGCAGTCAGAATTAGCGTAGGTACAGCCACACTGACTGTTGCTGCAGGTGCAGTCAGAATTAGCGTAGATACAGCCACACTGACTGTTGCTGCAGGTGCAGTCAGAATTAGCGTAGGTACAGCCACACTGACTTGCTGTAGGTGCAGTCAGAATTAGCGTAGATACAGCCACACTGACTGTTGCTGCAGGTGCAGTCAGAATTACCGTAGATACAGCCACACTGACTGTTGCTGCAGGTGCAGTCAGAATTACCGTAGATACAGTCACACTGACTGTTGCTAACAGGTGCAACCAGAATTAGCGTAGGTACGATAACACTGAACGTTGCTGCAGGTGCAACCAGAATTCGCGTATATACAGCCACACTGACTGTTGCTGCAGGTGCAGTCAGAATTAGCGTAGATACAGCCACACTGACTGTTGCTGCAGGTGCAGTCAGAATTACCGTAGATACAGTCACACTGACTGTTGCTGCAGGTGCAGTCAGAATTACCGTAGATACAGTCACACTGACTGTTGCTGCAGGTGCAGTCAGAATTACCGTAGATACAGTCACACTGACTGTTGCTGCAGGTGCAGTCAGAATTACCGTAGATACAGTCACACTGACTGTTGCTGCAGGTGCAGTCAGAATTACCGTAGATACAGTCACACTGACTGTTGCTGCAGGTGCAGTCAGAATTACCGTAGATACAGTCACACTGACTGTTGCTGCAGGTGCAGTCAGAATTACCGTAGATACAGTCACACTGACTGTTGCTGCAGGTGCAGTCAGAATTACCGTAGATACAGTCACACTGACTGTTGCTGCAGGTGCAGTCAGAATTACCGTAGATACAGTCACACTGACTGTTGCTGCAGGTGCAGTCAGAATTACCGTAGATACAGTCACACTGACTGTTGCTGCAGGTGCAGTCAGAATTACCGTAGATACAGTCACACTGACTGTTGCTGCAGGTGCAGTCAGAATTACCGTAGATACAGTCACACTGACTGTTGCTGCAGGTGCAGTCAGAATTACCGTAGATACAGTCACACTGACTGTTGCTGCAGGTGCAGTCAGAATTACCGTAGATACAGTCACACTGACTGTTGCTGCAGGTGCAGTCAGAATTACCGTAGATACAGTCACACTGACTGTTGCTGCAGGTGCAGTCAGAATTACCGTAGATACAGTCACACTGACTGTTGCTGCAGGTGCAGTCAGAATTACCGTAGATACAGTCACACTGACTGTTGCTGCATGTGCAGCCAAAATTAATGTAGATAAGTCACACTGACCGTTGTTGCAGGTGCAATCAGAATTAGCGTAGATACAGCCACACTGACTGTTGCTGCAGGTGCAACCAGAATTAGCGTAGATAGTCACACTGGTTGTTGCTGCATGTGCAGCCAAAATTAATGTAGATAAGTCACACTGACCGTTGTTGCAGGTGCAATCAGAATTAGCGTAGATACAGTCACATTGACTCTTGCTGCAGGTGCAGTCAGAATCAGCGTAGGTATGGTCACACTGACTGTTGCTGCATGTGCAATCAGAATTACCGTAGATACAGTCACACAGACTGTTGCTGCAGGTGAACCAGAATTGGTATGAAGGGTCTTGTAACTGAGGGTTCGCTCCTGAAGTATGAAGTTGTTCCTCTTCTTCAAGGCTCTAACCTTACAAAGGAAACTTGCAGTTGCCACCTTTTTCTGAAAGTGCCCGCCCCATGTGGCGGCAGGAGGCTGATGGGCTGAAGTCAGAAGTAAGTGTAATTGGGTTTGGTCGGCGAGAGTCGAGCGCTCTGAGCGGTTTGTCTCTGGCCTGTTCTCCGAGTGAGCCGAAACTCTGACTGGGCGCCGTCTGGTGGTACTAGAATCTTCTTGCGCATTCGTGAACCTGCTTTTGGGGGCGGAGCTCTGTTTGAGAAGAGTGTTGTCTTTCGGCTTGTGACTGTGCGGTTCGGAGAGATCACGGCGTTTCGTAGAAACTTATCAACTCCACCTTCAGCATCGAAGAGTAAGCCAAGCAATAAACCAGCCTCTTTGCAGTTAGACCCTAAAATCGAGCAGTGTGTTCAAAAAATTTAATTAAGTTTTGTAGTCTTATTAGATGTGACGTGTAGTGTGGCAGAAAGATACCAGCTGTCTCCATCTTCAAGGTAGAAAAGTAGGCCACGACTGTAGAGGTATAACGAGAGGAATCGGAACTGGATCTGCGAGCGAACCAATAGGAGACGATAGGCTCTAAAGGAGGCGGAACCAAGAATTTGAACTTCCTATCAGGCTGCATGGCGTCACATCCCAGAATACACCGACGTTGAATTTAAAATGTCTCAGTGGCATAGTTATGGAGTCGGTATGGGGGTATGATTCATGGACTGCCGGACAAGTCCACAGGCACCTCTCAGCATCCTGGACAGTCACTTGATTAGTGAATTACTGACGTCACTGGTTTACTTTCCCTTCTGTGTTGTCGAGATAACATGTTGTATATTTCATTTTTTGTATTGACCGATTTTTATGAAAATTAATATGAACGTTATGCCATTGCAACTCATACAAACTCTTTACGTATTTATTTTCTTCAGTCATTAGCTGGTGAACTTGTGAGGTGTTAATGTTATTCATGTCCCTTAATACAGAGTGGTCATACAGTGGATGTCTGACATATGTGAAATAACAATATAGCGTCGGTGCGAAACTTTGAGGAGGTTATGTCTGACAAATTCAATAGAAGAAATGTGTACTTACAAAGTTATTGACAAAATAAAATCTACTACTACTACTGATGATGATAATAAGAGAGTTGCTGAAATAGACATATTTGCACTAGGCAAATGGATCCTGTGAGCCCTGTTGGAAGTCCACGTTGCAGGTCACGTCTGTTCAGTCGGCTCGTTGTATTCCCGCGTGACGAGCCGTCGGAGTTGTACGATAATTAAATTTATGAACGATGTCCGACTTAACGTGCAGAGGCAAGGGAAACATCGCGCCCGTTGAACATTCAGTGGGATTCTCCCATCATTTGTTATATAAGCTTCTTTACTGTTAAGTTCTTCTGCTTTCTCCTGTATTTCTTTCCAGTCATACGTGTTATCGAACGATACGTCGAGGCCGACGTTTAATCCTCATCTCCCACAACTGACACGCACAAATAGCCGATCATAAACCGCCCTTTTTACATAATATACTACACTTCACATATTTACATCGCAATATTAGTGTACACAAAATAGACACGATACACTGGAACGATAAACTGCTCCGCTATTGCTGTTGCTCGTGTGCGACCTGCATAAGACGTTTGTGCAAAGTGTTAACAATCGACGATTCGTTGCTATGGTAATTCGAAACTGTGTAATGCCGAAATTCTTTATGACTGCAGTCAATTAAATTAAATTAAATATTTAAAACCACAGCAGTAACTGTGTATGTACCTGCGGAAACTTCAGGTTTTTCGCACCCAGTGTGTTTGTTTGCGGTAGGTTGATGATGCAAGCGGAACATCTGCGCTAGTCTCAGTCGAGGTCGCCTTGCAACCTACGTTTCGACTTCTCTGCACTACAGCCGTGCCGAAGAAGTTGCCGCTGCGGACGGCTCCGCCGTCCAGCCCATAGGTACAGAACTAGAAGTGCGGATTGCTCAGTCGGTCTAATGATTGGACTACGGACTAGATGTAAGATGAAGGTTCTATTCCTGGCATGGGGCAAGGTACTTTTGTCTTCAGCACAGGGCTGAGACCAGCTCTGGGGCCACCGAATTTCCTACCCGACGGTTACCAGGGGCCGTTTTCCCTGGGGTAAAACGTTGGGGGCGTGAAACTCATCACACACATTCATCTTATCCAGAGGATAAGAATGCATGGCGTTATGCCTCCATACGTGTTCAGGGTGTGGTGCTTAATTAAACACAGAGCTGGGCACAGGCAGCAGTTAGAATGACCAGTCCGACGTGGTCTAATGTTCGAATCCCGTCTGAGGTGACGGTGCTTGTGTCCATTGTTTGACTCGTTTCCTTGTCGCCATTTGATAGATGGAAATGGATACAAGAACCACGGACTTGTGTCGGGTACCATACTGCACGGCGTCATAACCGAGAAACTCCACAATATAGCAGTTCATATAGCATGTGAGCGTCTAAAGCTCGTGGTGATGTCCGGCCATGGAGGAATAAGCAGTCGCGCCGCGACGCGCGGCCACAGCGACGCAGTGTAAGCAGAACACACACATCTGGGCGGACAGCTTAGCCCTTTGAATGAAGGAGGTGAGAGAATAAGAGTAGAAGAATAGGAGAGAGGGAAAGTCGTGATGAAAGTGACAGACACTTCATAATTTTGCTTGGGAGCAGAAAGAGGACCATTTCGTTACAAGGTTCCCAGGATTCGCCCGTTCATCCTTCTGATAGGGGCAGCGTGAAAGTGAAGCCGTGGCTTTCTGTCAGGGGCTGCGGGAGCTGCGGAATTTGGAAAGGGAATTTACAGCAGAGAGGTTTGTTTCTGACGAATTCAAACTGGGAGGGCTCAATGAGACGCACGCAGTAGTAACTGGGAACCATATGAATGTCTTTAAGTCTGAAGTTCATTCAAAATACATTTCGAAATTAAGTTCATGCCTCACAGGACGCGGACAGCTGTGTCCGCTTCATTGTAAGGATCAGACGGATGGCGTCACCACAATGTAGGCACAGTCTTCACGGAATAGACGTGTAATGTGACGTAATGAGAAGACTGTCGTCTCCCGCACGTGACAAGCCGTGTGCTGGCATGGAGACGATCATCACTTGGTAACGGAATCTGCTTTTACGGCGAGGCAGCAGCGGTCCAGTTGTGGTCCTCACGCTCTCACCCATGCTGCTGCGTTCAGAAACCGGCTCAAATTTCGGGCACGAGTTCCACATCATCATCATCAGTAATCTGTCAGACGACAGGTCCACAGTCTCTTCCAAAACAGTTCCTCCACTTAATGCGATCTAGAGCTTTCTCCTTCAGATGATAGTATCCTCTTCTGTCCCCAAGGTCATCCAGCATTTTCTTACGTCTTCTTCCTCGTCTTCTTGTCACTTCTATCCGCCCATCTATCTTTCCTTCAGTAACTTCTTTTAGAAGGCAGTTTCTGCGTAAAACATGACCAATCCAATTAGCCTTCCGTTTTCTTATTTCGTGTAGGATATTCCTCTGCTCACTGACTCTAATTAACACTTCTTCATTTCTCACATAATCGGTCCAACTGATCTTCTCCATCCTTCTCCAACACCACATTTCAAAACTTTCCAGATGTTTGTGATCTACTGCCCTAAGTGTCCATGTTTCAGCCCCATACAGAGCTATGCTCCAAATGTAGCATTTCACTAGTTTCTTCCTCAAATTTAAGTCCAATTTGCTGGTAAAAAGATTCTTCTTCTTGCTAAATGCAGCTTTTGCCATGGCAATCCTGGATTTAATTTCACTAGTACACCTTCCATCATCTGTTAACAAGCTACCCAAATATTTAAAACATTTCACATTCTCCAGTTGTTTTTGGTCTATCTTTATTGTGACTGGGGTTGGTTGTCTCGAAATTTTCATTACTTTTGTTTTCTCCACATTCATTTCCATGCCATAGCACCTTCCAATTTCAATTAGTCTATCAATCATGCCCTGTAGCACAGTTTCTTCCTTAGCCATTAACACAAGGTCATCTGCATATTTCACAGTTTGAATAATTTGCCCTCCTACTTTGAAGTGTCGGAGCCCATCCAGAGCTTCCTTGGTAAGGCATTCGCTGTACAAGTTGAACAGAATTGGTGATAAACAGCATCCTTGTCGAGCTCCTCTTCCAATCTGCACACTTCCTGTCTCCCCTCTGTCCAGTCGTACTCTAACTTTCTGATCCATGTACAATTTGCTGATCAATCTTCTTTCACGCCAATCGATACCTGTTTCTTTTAGGATCTGCATTAATGTGGTCCAGTTTACCCGGTCAAATGCCTTCTGCCAGTCTATGAAGCAAACACACAGTTCTTCATCTATCTCCAAAGTTCGTTCTGCTATAATTCTCATCATCCCAATTGCATCCATGGTTCCTTTTCCTCTTCTAATTCCAAACTGATCTTCTCCAAGTATATCCTCTAATTCCCTTTCAAATCTTCTTTTAAGTAACTTTGCTATTATCTTTGCTGTATGTGCAATAAGGCTTATTGTGCGATGTTCGCTGCATTTTGTAGCTTTTGTCTTTTTCTTTAAGGCAATCATTGTAACTTCTGTAAAGTCCTTGGGCCACTCTCCAATTTCATATACCACATACCAAAACAATAAAATATACATATCAACATGTGTCCGGAAACATTTAATTTGTGAGTTATAGCTGAGGGAACACATTTGTAAAAAGCGCCTAAGATTTCCTCCATGGGATTCAGTGCACGCCTCGACACGTCTCATCACGGACCGCCGAATCCGTGCAAAGATGGCGGGGCAGTTGCGGAGAGTCTGACAGGCATGCGCAGTGCGATGGTGATGGGTCTCTTCGTTGTTAATTGAGTCGTGTTCCCACAGGTGAAAATCCAGAGAATTCAATTCAGGCGGTCGTGGAGGCCATGCAATGGATCCTCCTCTGCCAGTCCGGCATTATTGAGAACATCACGGCTAAAATGTTCTGGAGCACACCCGTGCATGTACCGCATTCGTGCTCTGGCCGCCAGTGGCTTTGGCAGATCTTGTAGGAGGAAATCTCGGTAGTGGCTGTAAGCCAGCGACCGTACCCAGCATTTACCAACAGCCCCTGCCCAGACATTAATGCTGAACTGCTGCTGGTGTCCACGCAGTCTTCTTCTAGCTGTAACTCACCAAATTCAAGGTCTCCGGACACATATTGATATGGACATTTGGGGGGTGGGGGAATGTGGAACTCTTGCCCTGAGTTTGTCCTCACCTTTCAGATACACCCTCCGTGTATACACACGCACACAAAGTAGTGTAACCTTGAGGTTAACGCTCGAAATTGGCGCAGTTTATGGATACCATAGCAACGAATTGTCGAGCGTTCTCATGCTTCCTACACGTAACTTACGTCGCAGGCCACGAACGAGCGAATAGTTTCTCTGTTTTAATGTTTCATATCTATTCTTTGAATACTGAATATCCTTTGACGTGGATATCTCAATGTAGTACTCCGTATGAACGAGACGGTTTACGGAACCTGCTGTCTCCGTCATTAACCGACAATCCATGGTTTTCCTCAGTCCCTCCACCTCATTTGGGCCATGACCATCCGGTTGGACGCTATGTATTCTCAGATAGCGACAGCGGCATATGACCAAATGGGAAGCACTCGTCCCTCATCTCCCGGGATGGATGGTTCCGGTGCAGGGCGTCGAGGCGATCTGTCCGTCCGCCCACACACAGAGACGCGGGTCTGATCGATGGCCCTTTGCAAATGACTGATGAATCGCTGACGGTATATGGGCGTCGGGGGTGCAGAGGGGAACGCAGCAGGCTCGCAGTTAGTTACCCCTTTCAAGCCTCGAATTCATCTAAATTATACGTAAATATTCAATAGAAAATTCATCACCAGGCGAGACATCTGTCGGGAATAATTTGGATGTCTTGCGTGTATGTAGTAAGTAACCCCATAATCCGGAATTTAGATATCGCTAGAGAAAGAAGAAAGAAGTGGGGAGGGGGGGGTAGTGAGAGACACTACAGTAGGGTGGGATCAAGAAACTATATCTCCGGTTTTAAAGGATTACAAGCAGTGAACGTTTGTCCTTCTGGTACAGGTAGAGCATATATGATCGGGTTTTTTTGTTTTTAATTTCTTTTATTTTTATGTCGCTGGAAGGGGTGCATTATAGTAAAGTTTTAGCTGTAGTTGGGAGGGCTATATTACGGCGAAATTTTGACATTACCAACGGGAAGGCTGCATGTGAAGCATGCAGTGCAACTTGGAATTTCGATACCAACTCAGCATTTGCTCTAGGATCGAGTAAAACAACGGAAAGCGTTGATGGAGTTGTCCGGTCGCAGGACCTTCCGGATGCAAAATGACTTCTAGCCAGCAGTCCGGCATTAAATACGCGAACCCTATCATTAGGCCCTATCACAGGTGGGACAACTGCGAAATTTTCTGGCTCTGTGGAACATTGTCTAGCTCAATTATGTGCATGCGCAGCGGCGTTTTGTCTCTCCACGTTGTCATTGGGATGACGTTTTGAACTTCCAGCCCAAGGGCAAGTATGTCATCCTGAATGGCTTTAGGAGGGGTGGTAGGAGGGATGCCTTTGATAACCAACCTGTACGGCTTGGAATCGTTGTGCTTAATGAGATTAAATGGAAGGTTATTTTCTTTTAAGAAGCTTTGTAAGTTGAGTTAATCTTGGTACGCTGAAGTCTGACATGCTATGCCAGCTGTTATTCTACAGGTTGTGAAACCTATAAGCTGGAATTTTGAGTGAAAATCTTTGTTAAGTCTGGTCCTGTCACCTTGGAAGTGGCGGTGGATGACGACGGGCGGAATTTTCTCTCTGAGAGCAGTCAGGAATTTGTTGTTCTTGTGCTCTGAGCTACCAGAAACATAACTCTCAGGAGCGGGAGAGAATGGCAAAGCTGTATTAATGGCGGATTCTGTTATGGTTGGCTTTACTTTTGTTTTGTTTTGTCTCTTTCTGTGGTAATGACGGTGAAGTCATTATCCTCCGCTATCTCATCTGGGTTAGGCGGTACAGAAGAGGCTCTTGCAGATAATGCAGGTTTCTGTGCACCTTGGGAGCAGTGTACATCTGCAGCCACTGTAAGGCTGTGATTGCCAGAAGGGCCTATCACGGGCGAGGCTGACTTGGGTCTGCATGGTTCTGACAGTTTGTGGTTTTCTTTAATTGGGTGGGTTTTATTATCTGTCCACACAGGTGTCATTTCTGAATCTCAGTATTTAGATGAAGGGCTATCGGACTCCACGCTCACTGGGGCCGGAGCGCGTGTTAAGTTCTGTAGTTAATATGGTTGATTTTTCTATTGGTTTACTTTTCCGGGTTTATTTCTATATACTTTCCTGGTTTCTTTAGGTTTTTGATTAGGGCTGAGGGCCCTCCGACGTCCATATCCCTCTTAATGCCTTGGGAGTCCAATCAAGTGGCCTTAGACTTCACATACTGGCAGCTACGGTTTACTCACCAACACCGAGCGTACCAGGGAAGTGATGATACTGACACTAATATTTGGAACGGGGTATAAGCTGAAGGGAACTGAAGCAGGGACAGTTGCATAATCCGGTGATGGCAGTAACCTCCGAGGCTTTCCTGAACTTACTCCTACAGGCTAGCGCCGTTTTACCAATGTTGCAACACTGGTTAAGGGTGGAATGTAAGGATTACAAAGGATCCTCAGTGTACGTTTGCACCGTTAGCTCTCAACTGGGGCAGTACAGCCGGGAACGCACGGCGTTAGCTGGAATCCTCTTCTTTGCTTCTCTTTGTCTTCAAGGTACGGGGCTCCTTATTGAGAACCACGTTCTTGGAGCTCCCGTGCTGGACCAAGAGAGCGTGCCTTGCGGGTATACGCCCTTCCTGGCTGAAGTCTCTCAGAGAAGTGAACTCGATCGTCTAAGTAAGATTTAAACATCTAGTTTGTTGTACCTCACAGGAAACAGGTTACGTTTCTGCTACAAAACCGAACCTGTTAATGCTGTTTGGGGAAACAGTCGCTGTTTATTATGAGAAACATACAGAACACACAGATGCACTTCCAAATAATCTGTAAGAGTCCAGTCTGTACTTCACAGGAAACACATTACATCTCCGTTACAAAGCCCAACCGGTTAATGCTGATTAGGGAAACAGACGCTCTTTACTGTGAGAACCATTTGGAACACACAAATACTCTGTGCGGGAAGAATGTAGAATTTCAAAGTGTTAAAGAAGGTGGTGCATATAGTTACCGCTTTGTTTTGAAGCCTACATGACTATCATAAATACCGGCATGTAAATTTGAGTCCCAGATGCCCGGTGCACCATTATTCCAGAAAAACTGATTGTTAGAAATATTAAAAATGCTCAATATGCCTACAATATTTTTCCCCCTTTCAACATATGATAGACAGAAGTAGTCTTGCGGACTTTCCATGCCTAGCAGGTCCCTAGGGGCCTACAGGCCACACGTTGTAACCCACTGTGTTAAGAGGTTAAAACTTAATTTAAGCTTGTAGTCAGTCGGCGTTCACCTTTGCGACTTGGACTTGATGTTAATTTGCTGAGAATGTAAACCTGTCTTTATAACGGGCTGTCGGCACTTGTTCAGTGCAGGCTGCGCCCTCTCCTGAGAGGTTCGGCTTTGTGTGACTGTAGACTCCTCTGTATATTTATTTTCAGTCAATTCCCCCTTTCGGGCGCTCCGGTACATAGCGTCGAATGGAGGAACGGATTTGGGAAAAAGCGACCGTGGCCTAGCCAAGGCATAATCTCCGCATTTTTCGGGAGGACAGAAGAAAAGCAGGAAACCTCGGTGAGGGTAGCCTGTGTCTCGGTCAGGACTCGAACCGCGTGCCTCCCAAGCACGGGACTAGAACGCTGCCGTGACACCGGCCTGTCGCATATTTATTTATGGCTTATTTAGCGATGCTGTCAGTAACAAGGCCTTGATAATCCGAAGTAATTTGGGGGGGATGAGAGGTCATACGGATTAGTGAAACGAAAGTAGCCCTAAAAGAAAAACAAACTTAGAATGCAAATGGAAAATGTATTGGTATAAGTAGTCCTGATGAAAATAAATAAATACAAATATCCCTGTAGTGCCCTTATTTAAAGACTATAAAAGACAATACCTTTATTAATCGATAAAAGTTTCAGAAGCTGTACTTGTTTTTTAACGTAATAATACAGGTTTGAAGAAACTGTCTTAAGTTTTGCGTGAAGAGACAAGTGACTCATCTGCCTTCCAAAATGCCATGCAAATTAAAAATATAAAGTAAAGGTAAAGCTATCCATGTAAGAGGCCGTGGAGGCCCATAAAGTTTTGAGATGTTGAGGCTCCCACATTTTCTAGACAATCGGCTCGCAGATGGCGGTGAGGTTGTAAGCCTTACGTGCCAGCCGCCCCCGGGAATATTCCTGGTACTCATTTCTGTTAGAGGCTGAGCCGACCCCAGGACCATAGTGCGGCTGGAAGGACTAGGCAAATAGAAAAAATCCACCTCATCGGGATTCGATTCCGCGACCTTCCGGCTTGTAGCATAGTGCCTGAACCAACTACTGTAACCGGATTAGCTAGGGTTTACTATATATAGCATAGAATGATTCAATCTTAATGAACTGGAAAGGGAATTCGTGGAAGTAGTTGTAGTCTGATTTTAGGTCACGTCCCAGAATTGTCTGGAGGGAGTGAGGAGGATGAGGGGAGACTTCAGTCAGAATAGTCAGAGCCCCAGGCGGGATTCGAACAGGGCACCGCGGTACCGCTGTGCTACATTGTTCGGTTTCGGAGTATAAAGTGATATAATGAAACCAGTGGAAGCTGTAGTCTATCATTTTGAAGATGAAGACCACCATATTGATTTAGTACGCAGGCAATCAATATGGCTGCCGGAAGCTTGGACACGTAACAGCAGATGTGTCTCACTTCAGCTGAAACAGTTCCTACTTAGCCTGAAGTGCTGTGCAGTCCACTTCATTGGGAGCTGTTGGCTGTCACCTGACCCACTTCTGTCACAGACATGGCTTCGAATTACACATCTAATGGTTTGGAAGTGTTCTGTAAATTGGATTTGGTTTCTTCAACAATCTGGCAGAAAGGCCCGTGTTTCTTCCGGGATGTGGCTGCTTTGCCTGTCAATATGACAGAACACAGTGGTTGGAACTTTAGGGATAACATTGCGACCTGAGCAGCTGAAGTTTACTTATGTAACCGAAGAAAATTAGGCATCGGGTTTCGAAATGCACTCGCCATAACAGCCGTGGCTGTTAATTTCATAATATCCGTGGTTGTTCTCTGTCAGGTCCGCGCTAGGAAAAATTGGAAATTTCAAAGCCGGAAAATGATCTCTTCTGCCCTCCACCCCACAAAATGTAGTGCATTCTCTTCTCTTCTCTTCTCTTCTCTTCTCTTCTCTTCTCTTCTCTTCTCTTCTCTTCGTATATGTATATATGTATGCCTGTTACCTCAGTGCAACGCACACCACCCAGAGAAATACTTGGAATGACAGCTGCCAGTCTCCCATACCAAATTTAATCGGAATCCATTCTGTAGTTTTCGACAGTAAGCTTGCGGACGGACAGACGGACATGCATGCCTGACGAGGCGGTTTCTGTTCCAGAGGCGATGAGGTCCAGCGTTCGCTGGAGCTACTGGACAGAGTGTTGTCGGAGTTCGACGACCTGGAGAACGGCAGCTTGGGCGAAGGCGAAGGAGCAAGGTCACGAGGTGCCCCCGCCCCTCCGCCAACCTTGGCAGAGGCACCGGGCCATGTGTCCAGCACCCCTGAGGAGGATGAGAGCCCTTCCCTTGGCGGCCACCAGTCCGAGGACGACGGCTATATGAGTATGAACGGGCGCCGGGCCAAGTTTGTCTTGAGCTTCCGTCCAGTCCCTGACGAGGGTCAGGCCCTGGAATTACCGCCGGCACCTGAACCGCCGCCGGACCCACCCCCGACTGAAATGGCGGACTTCCCGCCGCCTCCCGAAGAGGCGGAACGCATCATCTCCACTCTGCTTCCACGGTACGTCCCTACACAATGATGGTTCATGGTGATTTCAGGTGGAGATATGAGGTTTGTGGTTTTCAGGACGGTGACTGGCGATCTGGGTACCGACTGGCAGTTATTTCCAAATTGTGGGGGGAGATAGTCCACAAAAGTTACATAGTAAAACTAAGTCCATTGTAATTATGAAAATGACATGAATCATAGTAAGCCTTAATTGTTAAAACGCTGAAATTTGAGCCGCGGGGCATTATTACAAGCCGAAAGGTCGCGGGTTCGATTCCCGATGAAACAATTGAGTTTTTATCAGTTGACCTAATCCCTCCAGTCGCCTGCGCGTAAGGCTGTGTACATAGTGTGCAAGGCCCTGCCCTAACGTATCATGAAGATGGAGGCAGTGTGTTTACCCGAAACTTTGGTTCCCACTGAAATTGGAGGCCGTATGTTTACATGAAACTTTGGTTCCCACTTGCCGCATTACACGGTGCCGTATTCGAGAAAGTCACAATTAGAAAGTTGAAAGGGCCCTCAAAATTCGCTTTACACATACATTAGTTTCATATGGCTGTGATGTGCTGTAGTTTGGTAGAAGTTTACCGACTTCTCTGAGGGACGTGCTGCTTCCATCTTCAGGGTGCAAGTTATCCTCTGTCTGGGGCTACTTTTCGAAATAAGAAAGGGAAGCTATTTTGTTCTCAGTCATTCGTCCTTATTCTGTACGTGAAGATGGAGGCAGCGACCTTCTCAGAAGAATTTCTGTCATACTACCAGAAAACACGGTGCAGTTTTCCAGAAGACAGTAGTCTTCGTAGTTATTCCGTTGGCATCCTCAAATCTCACTTAGTTTAAAGTGGAATTTAGCAGTCTGAATTTTTTCTGGGGGTTTGGGGGAGTACCAAACCGACGGCCTGATACGTCGGTTTCGTTCATGATTCTCATCCAGGGCCTAAGGAGTGCTCACTAGCCCAGGTGTTCGTGGAACAGAATCGTAGGTCTTGGGAACGACTTTGACGGCGATAAGAAAAAGAAAGCCTACAAAAACTCTACATTCTGCCCACAGAGTGCATTTGTGTGTTCCATATGGTTCTCACAGTACACAGCGACTGTTTCCCCAAACAGCATTAACCGGTTGGCTTTGTAGCGGAGAAGTGAAGTGTCGCCTGTTTTTACAGCTGTTACTTGACAATGGGTCTGCGTGTCACGATATGTATAGGCCTCATGTGCTCCTCACTAGCGTCCCATCAGTAGAACGGATTTTGTTCATATTCGGTGGTCAAGAGTTTATCCATAATACGTCTGTGCTCGGTGAATCTAAGCATTCTAGCTCCCTTCATATTGGTCCCCCAAATCACAAAACAGCGAATTTCTCGAAAACCGCTCTAATGATTTTGATTGGCGTGTGGGTACCGTCTCCGTAAATAAAACTGCACTGGCGCCATCTTTAGGTACGCCCTCGGGGCCAGAAAACCGTAATGCCAATTTGCTCGAAATCGACTGTACCGNAAAAAAAAAAAAAAAAAAAAAAAGGGAGGGGGGGGGCAACATTCAATTCATTGCCGGAGTATCGAATTATAGGTCAGTCGCGTATGAGAAAGTTTTTGCAGCGTCATTCCCCCACCCCCCGTAGTGGGGAACGCCTGAAATTCTCCACACTTATGAACAGGTGCTGCCTGTCATAGTCATTGTATATCGTGTTGCAGTGTTTCCCCTGGGAACTCGGCTAAGAGAAGCAGTGTGCAACGCGGCAGAGCGTTCCTCAACGCCATGACACTGGAAGATCGGCGTCTCGCAGGCAGCAGGGTCACCACGGCCACCCAGACCACACTGGTGAGTCACGTGTCGCCTTGCAGGGGTCACATTTGTTAGTACTCGTGCGCCATCTGTACGATCAGCAAGTTCCGTGGGTTTTCAAGTCCTGTTGTTTGCATAATATGGAGAGAGAACCGCAAGATGGCAGCAAAACGTGGGAGTGTTTCAGTCGGTATTACAGTGTTCATCTTTGCTGAAGAACCTCCTCTCTCATTATATGTATTACGAAATTGTTTCTCCAGTACTTCCCAAACTTATAGAGTGCATATGCAGTGAAATCGTGTTTTCATAATGCCCCACAAGATCTCAATGAAAGGGTTATGTGTAGATACCATGCTTGAAGTTGGAACTGTCACTTTTTCACTTTGAATGTTTTGGAGAGTCCTGTAGGCAAATAGCCGATGTGATTTAGGACATGTAGACCAGCTGGACACTGAATAGCACACAACGTTGTGCCTACTTAAAATTCCTGTGTCTGACTAAGTAATTTCTCAATAAATGTGTCATTTCTCATCTTTTATATTCTGGAAAAAGATACGAGATACATAAAATCCCTAGGCAATGCCGATGCGGCCCTCTGTAGCACAACCTTATAAACATCTTAATCTATCATACCGGTCGCCCCACGATTTCTGAATATATATCTTAACTGAAATCTAAGAGCATATTAATATTTTGTACACGTACGTCTTTCTCCTTTCTTTCCTCCCTCACTTTTTCTCTTTCTTTGTCGTCTTCTCCCACCCATCATGGTATGTAGGTGGATTATATAAAAGGCCCAGTATTTAATAGTCATTGCTCGATGCTTTTCTGGATTGTTCAGTAGTTTGGAGATGAAATTCAGTTCTCAGAGTGTCGATGTGTGTCTGCAGCCGAAGACTCGGCACCAGCGCCCGTTTGGCTGGGAGACAGAAACTAACAACCCGCCCTTCCACCTGCAAGAGCCACCGAACCCTCAGCTCCGTTTCGGAAGTCTGCCGTACGATGGCGTACTACAGCACGCGCGATTCCCTCCACCGTGGTTGCAGCGGCAAGGTCCCCTGCCGCCACGGACACTCCCTGGCGCCATCGAGCGGCATCGCGAGGTACGACGTCGCGGCTCAGGGGACGGCGCCGATGGCTCAGGATGCGGCGGTGAAGAGCCGTGCCCGCCACTGCGCACACTTGACGAACTTACTGACGACTTCTCCGACGATTCCTTGGAGGAACTTCTTCCGCCGCCGTTAGCCTCCAAGAGGAACAGCATAGCGTGGGAGGTTCCCCTTGGTCTGGAAGACGCCGACCCCCTTCTGACGCCTGGCAGCACGAAAGTTGTGGGTCGCAGGAGGCGACGATCCGGAGATCACTCAAGTAAGTGTTGCGGAGGCCAGAGTTCGCTTCCAATAGTCAGTAATGCAGATCATTCTCGTGATATAACTTAGTTTGTCAGTCCTCCATATTTACGTACCATTATCATCGACTCTGAACGTTACTGTCGACTGGGTACTTGCTGTCTTCATGGGCTCACTTCTCTGGCCCAAAGGAAGGGGGCTACGTGGTTTGCCTTAGTCCCTCCAGTCACAATACTGGGATAACAGTTACAATTAAGGCACGAACGCTTTGATCCTAATTCTGTTCCGTTTTATTTCTCGCTGATGAACCTGCCGTTGTATGCCGTTTGTACAAGTAAAAAGTAAATAATCAAGTACATGTTTGCTTATTTGTTTATCAGTGGACTATCTCCATCAACGGAGGCTGGTATAATAGACCCATTTGAGGTCCCTGGAGCAAGGACTCCTCACCCCAGCCTTAGCATGAATTATATTTGATTGTGCTATGTTCTTGCTATCGTAATCATCTTTGTTCTTGTTGCTTTTTGTATCTTCACACTGTACAACAGGGGTCAGTCCCGTTCATGCATTACGCCTTCTCCCGTAGGCTCATTGTGCATTGGGTTCATGACCATGTATTTAAATTAAATTAAATGCTATTATTATTATTATTATTATTATTATTATTATTATTATTATTATTATTATTGTTATTGTTATTGTTATTGTTGTTGTTGTTATTGTTATTGTTGTTCATTGATTGTACAGTGTTAACGGAGAGGGAATTAAGGCGAGGGAGTGACCATGGGTTAGTTTCAGTAATATCGCAACATTCTCTTGGAGTAAATAAATATCTCATGAATAACCAATCCCCTTTCAGTACACGAATATTCCTACTGCGTGTAATATGAATAGATAGTTCCTCAAGGGTTATTTCAACTCTCGATATAAATAGTCCCTGAAGAGTTCTGTCTTCTTGAATGTAAAGCCGTGCAGTCCATTGGAAGTCAATCGACGTTACAGAGGAACATGTCGCCTTCATCTTAAAGGACGAAGAGTAAGCCAAGCAAGAAATAGAATGAAGCAGGTATAAAGCAGAGCGAAGTGAACACGCTTACAAACGCAACCTGCTCTGATGGAAGCGTTTTATGTTCCTTCCGAAATGTCGATTGACTTTCAGCAGACTACACGACGCTATATCCCAAAACCTGAAGTTCTGCACAAATATACTGTTACTATACAGGTTATTAGAACCAAATCTCGTTCATCACGGAGTTAAAATAAAAAAAAAAAAGTAAATTCGCACTTTGGGAGGCGGAGTCCACCTGAGTCCACTCGGCAGGTCTGCCTCTGATTGGACAATTGTACCTGCCCCTCGTGATTATTATGATGGAGATAATTTTGTGGAATGAAGATTGGCAGGGGAACCTAAACACCTTCCACAGCGCCACTTAGGTCACCACAAATCCCACGTGACCAGACCTGGGCTCGAACCTGGGCATACGAGCTGCGGCGCTACCTGATAACAGTTACGTTGGCAACTGCTGTACACAGACCATTGGCAACTCCAAATAGTTCGATAAATCCCGAAAGGTGGCAGCATGTGAAGGGTGTAATGAATAGCCGAAATTAAATACTTCTCTGAGGTCCAACTAGATTTCGTGCTTGTTTCTTCGTATGGATTCTGGGATTATTTTTTTTTAAATTTGCCGCCATGAGAAAGCCACGTGTTTGTTAAAATGGCGTATGTTTGTGAGTGATTACGAATTGGCGGATTTTGTAAACGTAGTGAATAGTGACACTGAATTAGCTGAGGGAAGGAAGGACTGATTCTGAAAGTAGTAACGTATGTACCAAATAATAATAGTACCGAAGTGGCCGATTAGAGGGAGAGACGTATTCCGAGTTCCCTTGTTGGGGTTGATGTCTGTATAGCGACGAGCTGAGAGCATACGGCAGGGGTCCGATTTCTGACAGGGCAAAGTGAATCTTCCTCATAGCGTCCATACCAGCTTTGAGGCCCACCCAGCTTGCTGTCGAATCGGTACTGAGTTCTCCGAGGGCAAAGCGGCCGGTGTCTGAAGCTGACCACTTACCTCCGGCTAGTACCGAGGTCAAGAGAACGTTGAGCAGTACGTCCACTCACACTTACGCTTTCATAATGCACTTCTTCATTAGTTAAGCACGAGGATAACTTTCTCTTACAGGTCGTTTAAGACTATTTTTACTTATCTATTCATGATGGATCCGTTTCTTCAATTGGAGAAAGGGGTAGCCTTATTGTGATTGAAATACATTTGTAAGTCGGTTTCTCGGATCACATCAGCTATCACCTCATAGCAGTGGTTCCGTGGTTCAATTCTGGATGGGTAAAGATAATTATCTCGTCATCTCTGCACCCAGACTGGCTCTGGGACATAGTCTCCTTTACACCAAGTACTGAAGGTGATGCTGCAGGAGCATGAAACTGCATGAAGCTTTGCCTCCACTGGCTCACATATTATCAAGACATGGTGCTTAATTGATTAAAGGAACAACTTCGCCCCTCCCATCCAATAATTTCATGCCAGAACAGCAGTGGCGGCCAGTGAATGTCGTGGAAATCGCCTGTTGCTACAAAGACCCCGTGATGCTCTCATATCTGGTGACAAATTCACAGTACACTTCTTAGTTTTGTAAGTGATTTTAGTTGCTCTTAATCCTAAAAGTTTTTCGTATTGTAAACACAGATACCTTTTCCACCTCTAGGAAATGCCTGTGCCTAAGATCCCAACCTCTGGTAGGCCCTGATTCTTCTGCACTCATGAAGCATTTCTTGGGCTGTTAGTGTCACACTGGAACCAAGTTTCCTTCAGCAGTCACAGCATCACAAGTTTGTGGTCTCAAATTCTAGGTGACTAGAGAGACTGCTTCTTATATTCACCACATAGTCATACCATCCAATATTGAAAAATATACAAGATACAAGTTTCAGAAAGCTCTTATGAATAAACTTGGTTGAGTCACTATGCTACAGGCTGGAAGGTCGCAGGTTCGATCCCCAATCAGTTTATTGAATTTTGCAATTGACCTAATCCTTCCAGCTGCACTATTGCTCTGGGATCTACTCAGCTGCTAACAGAAATGAGTACCAGAAATCTTCCTGGGGGTGAAGGGCGGCCAGCGCATAAGGCTGACAACCTCATCGCCATGTGTGAGTCAGTTGTCTAGGAAATGTGGGAGCCTTGACATCTCACAACCCTATAGGCCTCCACAACCTGTTACAAGGATAGCTTTACCTTTATCTTACCGTGTGAAAAAAAAAATTCTTTGTGAAGATCCACCCACTGGCAGATTTAATCTGCTTGCAGCTAGCTTGTATGATGCTTTGTCGGCACACCGTGTTACCGTAATGTTATGCAGCATCATTATGATGTTCCTGAATGACATCCAGCGCTTATAACTTCTGCTTTGTATTCAGGAGGTTACTAGTTCAGACCTTGGCCTGGAGACAAAGTAGCCTAATTTGTGTCATAGCTGTCCTCAGTAACCAGGCGAACACTAGGGTAGTACATTGAATTAGGACGTTTATATTGTACATTGTGTTATGTATTGTACAGTGCGTACAATCAAGTGCGCGCCGCGGCTGCAATTTGCCGTGAGTCATACCACCGCAGAACGGATGCAACTCCTCCCCGCGACTGCAGTGCCGTTCCCCGATAGCGTGAGTGTAGTGGTGTCGCTGAGTCTCCGTCCATCAGTTGCTCTACATGCACACATTTATAAGAATACAGTAAAAAGATAACTTACCGTGGTTTATAACAGGTGCTGAAAGTGACCTCCTTCTGCTTGCAAACATGCCGCGCATCTCACAAATAAATTACGCGACACTCTCTGCAGTTCGTCGACGGTAATTGAAT